GAATTTTTTTTTTTTTTTTTTGAAAAAAAAGGCCGATAAAAGCATAGCATTTGAAACTGGAGATAAAAAAACTACAACAAATACAAGCACAACAAAAAGAGAGAAAAACAACCTGAAAAAGGAAGTTGTAAGGAAAAAAACATTCCATATATGAAAAAAAGGACCAAATTTAGTTTATTACAAGCACTCTCAAATAACTGCTAAAAAAAAATTCTCCGTACAGTTAGGAGAGATCAGTTGATCTCTCCAACTGATCTCTCCGAACTCCAGTGCCATCTCTCCGCACTGTTCGGAGGTTTTTTTTTTTTTTTTTTTACAAAATCTTAATACATATTGTTTATCAAAACTGAGATCAAAGCTAAAACAAATATAGGCACAAAAAACCTAAGTGAGATGAAAAACTAAAACAAATACAAGTACAAAAAACATATGGTATAAGCACTATTAAACTAAAGGTCCTTAAACGTCGATCAGAATGAAGTGCAGAATGAGGTTGAACTTCATGCATCATATTTTTCAGTTGAGAATTCTCAATGCACATCTACTTTCTCTTTCTTTCGCAAGCTCGCCTATTCTTAAGCCAATCACCAACACTTTTTTTCAGAAATAATAGGATTATGTGGTGATAAGGTGAAAACTATATGTAGAATTTCTACATTATTTGGACTTTTATTTTCTGCATCAAATATGCACCGAAGAAAATCAACCTCTGTAAATGTAGGTATCCAACATTGTCTTTCCATAACCTTTTTGGCCAACAACAAGCAAAAAGGGGGGAAAAAGAAAAAAAGAGAGAGAGAATGAAACAAACCACACTCGTTGAAAGCTCGAAAATGAAGTTTGAGAGTAGTATATAAAAGAAGATATCGGGAATGAATGTGGTTGAAGAAAAACAAATGATTAACCGAAATTTCACGGAAGTAAATCATAAATGCCATAGCACCAAAACGAAAAAAAAAAAGATAGGCACTTGATAGATGGTTATTGGATACAAGAAAACAATTTATCATTATTATTATTCTTTTTAAATTGTGTTTATTGTGCCTCTGTTTGGCTAATAACATATGATGACCTAACCCAATGAAATATAGGCCTCATGTGGTCTATATTTATTCTCTAGAGACTTCTTTATTTTTAATATAAAAATCAGCTCCTACCTTTGCTTGTCGTCCAAGTTAGTCTAATTTCTTATGTTGATTTTCAGAAATGATCACCATATTTATTACTTCTTAGTAGTTTGGTGTTACCTAGGGGAGTTGCTATAGTCTTAAACTTTTTTAT